GTCGTCTCCCCAATGTAATTGCAGTGACAGTCCTTATATTTCACTCTATATATCACTGAAGATCTTTCTTCATTGGGGAGTGGTTCCTTGGGGCACATTATTTTGGCACGAAAGGTTTGATTCGGTTTATGGGCAATACTAATATTATATGGAGCCAATATCCGTGCCGTCGCCTCTGACACCCCATTGACGTATGGTAGAGTTGTCCATGCCATAGCGGTGCCTGTGTGCTGCATTCTGCGAGGCTCGTATGGTCTGCTGTACCATCTGATGAAATCAACTGGATAGCCATTTTTCCTGCAAACACGGTATAGATGATTCCTTCCTCAACTTTTGCCCTATCCATGTTGCAGTGTGTGTTCACACGCTTAAACAGCATTCTGATACAGCCGATTTTATGCGACATGGGATGATTACTCCTGTAGTGTAAAATTCTGTCTGTATGCGTTGGTTTTCGGTGGACGGTCGTGTGGAGAGTGCCATCCGGCTGATGGCTGATTCGTACAGGAGCCAATGATAGAAGGCGGGGTGCCACACTCACAACAAGGGGTGGTGGTCACAGGACAGGAGGCCCTGGGGGACCATCCTATAGCAACATGTACCCAGATACGTCCAAAGCGGGCAAAGAGAGAGACAATAAGAGAGGCAGTGATCCCTGAGCTTACAAGTATACAGACGGATGTGAGACTATTAGAAGCAATACAGTCAACTGGGGCGGGTAGACCGGTGATGCGTTCTATGAGTAGAGTGCACAAACTGCCGTTCTTATGAGCAGGCTTTCAAACCTCCGGCATTCCACTCTGACGACGAAAGCTAAGTTTATCAAACAGTTGTTACTTTATTAAACTGTTGTTTTTATATTTATCCCGGTGTTCGACTACTTTTCTCAACAGATACATACATACATACATACATACATACATACATACATACATATATAAAAAATCTTGTATTGTTCCTAACACTTAACATAATGAGAAAATATTACTGTCTTCCTAATCCAGAGATATTTCTCACTGTTAAAAAATGGTCACTAGAATGCAAAAAGCATCTAAAGTAACAATAGAATCTTTTTTAAAAAGTTACTAGCAAAACTGATTAACAAGTATGAATTCTAAGCATTAAATATTATGACAGCTAACATTTGAATTTAATTGAAGACTTAAAAGTACTCTCTGAATATAATTTACTGGCAGGACAAAATGGTTGCAACAGGAAAAAAGTGGTAACACAAAAGCTGAACATATTATTTTAAATTCAAAACATCATCTTAATTAATTCAGGCACTGCTAATAGCTTGACTATGTAACATTGATCAAAATAATCAATCAATGAAAGTGAGAAGGGACCACTCTTTTGTATTTGGGCACTAGCATAAATGGTAACACACTCAACAATTCAGTAAAAAAAAAGAAGAAGATATCAACTGCCAGCAAATCTTCTAAATCTATTAATGGAAAGAATATAAAATATACATACAAAAATATGGGTAGATCACATTGTGCCACATAAAAAGTAATATTTCAAGTCAGCATCTTTTAAACACTAATTCAGATATAATAGTTGATCTTGTTCATCAGGATCCAAGGCCTTACTCCCCTCTCTTATGCACATATGTCAAGGTCGTAAAATACCAAGCATAGAGCAACATAATTCATGTAGTAACGACTGCCTATTAATCTACTGCAAGATGAGGTTGAGCACCAGAACATTATATCACAACCAAGAATACATCAAAGCAAGATGCCAGCTACATGGAATTTCTGAACAAAGACTACATCTCAAAATATATAGCACTTTACTCCTAAACACGAAATAAGCAGGACTCATGTGGACAAGGCACCATCATCAGGAAGAAGAAAGGAACATACAAGAATGCTAGGAAATGGAAGTGCAATTTATGGAACAAGAAGGGGGTTTCATACAAGGAATTACCACCTTATTTTGAAATCTGAAAGTTTGGGTATCAAAGAGCACAGAAACCTCCCTGGATGCAAAAGGTCCCTAATTGTAAGTTTATGTTCCTCATGGAGAGAAAACATGGAGCACAATAGAAAAGAGGAGAGATTGAACTGGTGTGTTTATTATTTACCCTCTGTATTCATAATACACCAGACCTCAGTATGAATTAGAAGTTCTTTCTCAGCAGGCAAAAAAAATGCATTCCATATTCTACACATCTTAATCAAACAACCATTGTATACCGATTTTAAACATGTATGATTTTCCAGAATGAATGAATGAATGAATGCAATGCTGAAATCTGGAACTCTTAAAAGCAACCATTCGCCCACAACTTTTAGTAATTACTAAGAACGTACATTCTATATGAAGCTGAAAGGGAGAACTATTGCCACTATAGTATTGCTGAATAGCTAACGCTAACAGAGTATTTATAGGCTTGCACAAATCAGCCCTACCCAGATAATAATTTCTATAGGCTTATGAAACATTACCAGATTTTTAAAGAAGTTCTGTGATCAAAATGAATTGATATAAGTGCCATGTAAATGGGTCAACCCTAACAGATTTCTGCACCAAATAAATATATTTTTGCTTTACCTATACAACGTGTTTGACCATTTCTCCTCCTATATTCTAATTCTGTACAATGCTTCAAATTCAGTTCTGAAGAAATGTTTTGAAATGTGTGGGACTACAAAGGCCATCAGCCACATGAGGCTCATTAAAGCAATAGTGTCCAGTTCCAAGATCATGCTGCTCTGCAGGATTGTGCTACAGTAACCCAATCCTAAGAATAAATGAAGCTGCTTTGGTGAGTCAAACACCAGGTATTCCATTCGTATTCCTGTGCATTGTAAAACGTATCTTCTGAATCAGAGTTGGAACCCTGCAAAGTTCAACTTCCTTCCCTACTAGTTCTAAATCCAAAGTCTAAATCGCATTGAAAGATTGCGTGTGCAAAATAAAAGATGTATTCTCACAGGGAGAAGCAGAGTCAAGCCAAGCAAAATCACATACATTTCTGCCCTCCCCATACACCAGACTCACACAGGTAGTCCTCCATATATGATCAACAACTGGGCCCAGAATTTGAGTCGTTGGGCAAAGTGGTCGTTGAGATGCCACATGACTGCTTTGCTGAAGCAGTTTGCAATTCTAACTTTCCAAATTTTAGTCTTTAAGTGACAATGCAGGTCACTGACCACTGGGGAGAAGAATCATGAGAACATTGGCATTTGCCAGCATTTTCACTAGATATGAAGTCTGTTTTCCAGGGTGGGAGTCCAAATCCTATACTATGTAACCAAAGTTTGATTAATAAGACCCAAACAGCCTGATTCATGAGTTATAAACCACAAGATACAAAATATTCACATAACATCCTAAGCTGAAAATAAGCAAGCCATTTTGTAGCATCATGTGTCCTCCGTGATCCCATTTAAGTGAGAGTTTTAAAACTATGACAGATGCTCTTTTTCAAAAGGCATTGCCTCCAACAATGAAGGGCAGCCTAATGCTTAGGGATGTGCAAAACCCACTAATCCCAGAGAACCTTAGGACATTCCACTCCTTCTCCAGACCACACTAAACCTCCTGCCCCCAGATGTGCCATTCTGGGAGTAGTTCTGAGGGAACTGGAAGCAAATCCTCTAAAATGGAAGCAGAACAGAGAATTTACTTATGGAAGCCCCAAATTCCTCCAGAACAGCATGGGCCAAAAAGTCAACTGAAATTAAAGCACGGTCCAGAGGGAGACTGGAATGTGCTGCTTCCAAACTGGCAAGCTCTACATATCCCTGCTGGTGACCAACCAATGCCAGGGGCTCTTGCAACCTATGCAGAGTGGAACAGGAGATGAACTTTCTATAGATCTTTAAGGATCATGAGGCAAGATACCACACCAAAATTGAAATACAAGTCAAATATTGTTGTAAAAATATCTCATCTATTTTATTATTTCTTTCAGAAAAGCACTTAAAGTAACATGCTGGCATTTTGATTAGGCAACGTTTTTTAAAAAAAGCCCTGAGAAACAATAACAGTGGTTTGGCACCTTCACAATTTTCCCAATTGGTGTTTTGTGAATCTAATGAATCAAACTGCAGCCTCTGAAAAGTTTGGACATGATCCAACTGTTAGTCTTTTAAAATAACCCACACTCGGTTTTCAGCGCAAGAGACATTGCCACCACTTTGGAAATAATGAAAATGTACAGATAACAGCTAAAAATTGTAGCTATAACTCTAGAGTTTAAGACTAGGTGCATAAAATAGTTTTTTGGGGTGGAAAGAAAAGAAATTTGTGCTTCTAGAATTTGGCTGTCACAACAGGATGGGCTCAAAAATACAACTCATATGAAATGCTCTTCCCAGTGAACCACTGAAAGAGGAAAGGTCAAGAACGCAGCTAAAACAACTCATTGCCTAACAGTAGTATTAATAGTTCTATCTAAAAAAACAATTTGTTATGAAACTACTATCCAAAAGTTCATCCCATGGGAAAATTTCATATGTATTTTTTGTACGTAAGTCAACGTGGGATATGGATAGGTTTTATATGGATGGGCACCTATGGTTCTCCAAAGATTCCTGAACTACATACCCCGACAGCCCTAATCATCCTGTTGGGAGTTGTAGTTCAGCTACGGGTCTGATAGAGGAGAGACCTAAGTTGAGCATCACCCTCCCCCCCAGCATGGAAACTCATGGAGTAACCTTGGGATAATAATTTCCTCTCAAACCATGTAAGCTGTCTTTAGCAACTGGAAGGGCATCAATCTTATAGCTAAATAAACTCCTGGGAGGCCACAAGCTAAGTGGTGACTTCTCCTCAACCCATACTTCTTTAGAAAGCAGAAGATGAGCTACCGGCTTCTCTTAACCTCCACTAAAATCTTCTTTTTCTACCAAAGTCCAAGTTTAACTGAGGATGTTATCAGGAACAGTAGCCAGAAAAGAAGTCATCTGAAATGGCAAACCACAGCATTTGGGGAGCGGGGAGAGGAAGCAGCAGGGGAAGAGATGTTATTTCCTCACCTTTCTTCATCCTTGAAAATGAATTTCCGCAGCTTGAGATCCCTCAGGACCAGCCCGCCATCATGACAGTGTGCTACGGCGGAGGCTATCTGATAGAACAGCTTGGCTGCCTCTTCCTCCTTCAGCTTCTTGCAGGTACGAACAAAGGAATGCATGTCCCCATAGCTCCGCTCAAAGAACACGTAAGCTTTCGTCTCTCCAAGAATGACTTCGGTAATTTGGTTGATGTTGTCATGAGGAGGCATGCAAAAACATGGCGCCAGTAAATCTTGGTAGCAGCCAACGTCGAACACCTAAAATTTGAGTTTGCAGTAAAAGAAAGGGTTACCAAAAGAAAGACCAATCGCTCCCCCACCCCTCAACATTAGTACTGGTCAACCCACGACTAAGAAATAGCTTTAGTAAATCAGCCATTGCCCAGGTGGGTTGAGACAATAAACCCTGAAATATCCCAGCCAGCATAGATATGGGGAATTCTGGAAGCTGTAATCCCAATACATCTGCAGGGTGACAAGGCTGACAAAGAAGGAGTTAACTGTATGAGACATTTTTTCTTAAATCCTTAATGCCCTGGGCAGGCATTTTCCATAATGAAACTCTGTCTTCTCCTCCCCTCCAGCTCCCAAAGCTAGCTGGTTAAAATATAAAAGGTATCAGCTGGGGGAGGGAAAGATGTATTTTCTCCCAATGAAAACAAAAAGGGGGCAGATTTTTTTAAAGCTCTCTAGGTGAGGGAGCGGGAGAATTAAAAAGCCCTGGTGGCCCAGCATCTGATTTAATTTTCTTTTTGAGATACGATGGCTGGTGCTCTACACTGAAAGGAAGTTTACTAGGCTGTTAAGTCTTATGCTTTCCTCCCATAATTTGAATGGAATTCTAGAACAGCTTTTGCAAAATGAGCCGTGCTTCCTATTTTTACTGGAAAGACCTGTGTCATCAGCTACATAAGGCCTGCCAGCACAGCTCTGCCAATACTCAGTGGACTCCTGCATGAAAGAGTCCACTTTTCTTCCCCGATGGAAAGAAACAGGGGGGTTATTTTTCCTTTCAGACTGTGAGCAAAACCATTCAGAGCTACAGATCGGTAATAAGTATATTGGCTCCACTTACCGACAGAGATACACAAGGCTAAAGGATTTCTGCATCCATATTGTCTCAATGAGTTTTTATTACCAAACTGAAGGGTCCTGCCAAAGCTTCTTACTGACCTAGCTGTGCTTTCCAAGATACAGGGGAAAAGATATTTCTCTTCCTTTTCCCAATGTGGTAAGAGGGACATAAGCAGTACCCTCCTGATTTGAACTCCTGGCCCATCTCATCAGCAGTCTCTTCTCACAGTGGCCAACCAACTGTACAAGGAAGCCCATTAATCTCCCAGCAGATGGTCTTCAGTCATACTGACATGAAGGCTGATCCACAACTTCCGTTAAGTTTTATGGTGTTCTATACAAATGCCAAGTAAGCTGTAATTTGGATGATTTGGTGTTAGCATGTTTGTGAACTCAAACTGATTTATAACTACGATTTAATCAAGATTATACTCTCTGTATACAGTTCAGCACTCAATCATACATGTTCCTTGACTGAAATCATGTGAGAAACTCATGACAAGTACATTTTAATCTAGCACCTTATGTAAGCCCGAGGTGTAGGGGCCCAGTTTCTGGTTCACTATTTTGTGTGCAAACTTTTAACAAGTGGGTTAATTCAGTAAAACGTGGTTACATTAACTATGGGCAAAAAGTTTTATATGTACCGTCTCACTGGGTTCAAAAAGATGATGGACAGGGACTTTCTAACAGTGTTTCCTTTGCTTTTAAGAGATGTAGGGAGATATGGAGTTGCTCAGGTCTTAAGGTATGTATTTGAAAAACATAAGAGAATAGGAAAGGTTGCAGTAAGTTTCAAAATCTCTTTGCTTATGATGGCCTGAATAGGAGGAATAGGAGATATAAGTATTTATTCAGCTTTCAGAGCACTTCAATTAAAAGAAAACAAATAGAAGTGCCTAGAAACTCTTGAGAAAATGCTAGGGATACATAGACTACCTTTAAGTTGGACTGGGCTCCACTGCATTTAGAATGGAGAGTCCAGACTTCTGACACTTCTAGGCAAGTATCTCTTTAAGAGCAAGCATATCCCTTATGAGCTTATGAATGAAAGTGCATCAAGAGTCCCAATACTAAAAAGTTACATAAATCCACCAATCATGAATGAATCAGTGCTTGAGACATGTAGAAGATTCAAAAGAGTGCAATCATTTCATTGAAAATAATGAAGTATTGCAAGTAGGTATTATGGGTAAATTCCCTGCACTTGTTTCCCTTCAGAATAAAGGTCAGAATGTTACAAAGCCAGGTTAATATTATTACTAAGAACACCACCAGACACCAATATAATAAGGTTAAACAGAATTTGCTTTTGTTATTGCAGAAGTTACAATAAAAAATTGTAGGTTTTTGTTATAAGTTAAGGACTAAGGAGGTGAGCTTGTTTTTATCGTATGTCAAAATCTATTTTTGTCATCTTCTGACATGGGACAACACTTGCTGCATGTGTGCAGAAATAAGACTCCGCCTAATTCAGTGGGTCATGCTCCCAGGTTAGCATGCATGCAATTAAAGCCTCTATCCTTACCAGCCTGATCACACATTAGCAAAAAATGTTTCCTGAGAACTGAATGCAAAGTTTGGCATGCTGTGAACTGTTTCACCACATCTGTATTGCCCCTCTAAATCTTGGAAAAGTGGATGACAAAATGAAAATCTTTTGCTTGGACAGATTAATCACTGTCCTAGTGCGCTATCTGAGAAAGAGGAAGCGCGAGTCGATTTTGATAACACTGTATGAAGTCTACTCAGAATGAAATATCAACTATTTACTGTGTGAGGCTGGGGCAGTAGACTTCAACCACCCTTATTCAGACAGGCTTCCTCAGCCTCTAGTGAGGGGAAGGCTGAATGACTATATTCAAAACTGTGTGTCCAAGAAAAATCAGATCAATTTTCAAATACAGAGAAAGGTGCAGGTTTTAAACAGCATTTTCCTTTAACAGCCATGCAAAACTGTCTCTTCAGACTAACTTTTCAAAGGCTTTTTCTTAGTTGAATTGCATTATTTATATCAGAATGCCTGATTCTTAACTACCTTGAGTTCTGAGAAGGAAAGCAGAGTTCATTAAACAGTCACAAAGAAGTGCCCAATGAAATTAAGGGGCCACATATGCCACAGAAAGGGTATTTAGAAGGAACAAGGATGGGCTAACTACTTGAATGCAGTTATTATTGGAAATTTACAAGTGCTGCAGTTCAACTATCTCCTACATTGGCATTTAGCTTTTAATTATGAAGCATGTTTAACGGATCCCCCAAGGTTACTTACTATGACCATGCAACTTAAAATATTTATCATGACCATGGTTGAAAGTAGTCATTCTTGGGGGAATCTACATATTTCTTACAAGGCAGATTTCCTCCTGGTTGCAAGAGGCATCAAAGGAAAGAGGGTTTCCCCCAAAAAAATCATTTCTTAAACATTTCAAATGGAAGTATACAAGGTCTTTGCATGTTTACATGTAAACATTTCATTTGGGGATATCAGTTGCTCTTTCTGCAGGATGCTAATGTTTTAATCTCCCATCTTTCTTAATAAGCCAATGAATACATTTTAAATAATAGATACAATTAGCCCATTTTTCCAGCACCTTGCAACAGACAACATGCAAGATCAAATCCTCAGTGAGATACAAACAGTATAAAATACTGAAAACTAATTTTTCATTAACATCCAGGAGCCATGATTCACAAGTGACCAATATATTTATACTGCCCTGCAAAGCAAGTCTTTACAAGCAACCAGAGAGTGCAATTTAATTTTCCCACCACAGACCAATCTACCGTAAATAAAAATCATCCACCAGTCAGCAGGACTGTGCAAAGCTACTTTAATTATTTTAGGATGTTAATGGGCTTCTTGTTTGCTTCCAGCCATCGATGAAATCCAGGATTACAAGACCCTTTTACTTATTTATTCTTTCAAAGGACCTTCACTGTGCATTTTGAAAAAGAAAATCTAAAATGGAAAAGGTACAAAAATGACCGTTTTCTCTATGTTCCCATCTGTTAAACTGATGAATGGCACAGAAAACTGTAAGCAGCCACGAAGAGTATACTGTACGCAGCACTTTAGGAACAAAGGAAACAGAATGGCCTCGGTGAATGGGTGCTAGTTTCCCCACAGACAAGCATGAGGGGGTTTCCTCTCTCCCCCCCCCACCCCAGTTCATAATGAAACTAAAGAGGCCAGTGGATGGGGAGCCAGTAACCCAACAAGAGTAAGCCACGTTTGTCTAAAAAATGCAATTCTGCACGGCTTTTGAACGGTTGCTCCAAGGTGGGGGGATGGTGTTTGCAAACAACCCATCAGTGTAAAAAACAAAGGCCAACAGATTAAAAATCAGCTCTGCAGCTCAAACCTTCTGATTTTTTTTTTTAATTTGGAAAGGAATCCGCTGCTCTTCCAAGCTTGTTCCCAAATAAGTACTTATACAATACGGAGGCTTGCCGCCTTAGGCTACCAGCATGCAATTGTTAAGTTGGCCAAATATACAGTATATATATATAGTTTATTCCCCCCGTATATCCCCTTCTACTCCCCCGGAGAAGTATCCCGAGACTAGGAAGAATTGGCATCGTGCAAGTAAAAAAAAAATAAAAATCGGAAAGCGCTATATCCAGGGATTCCGATTTTAAACCCAACTCCCCCCCTTTTCAGTCCTTCCTCCCCCGCGGCTTTGGCTCTAGGCCACCGTTATAACGTGGCCATTGTCTGCAAAGTTGCTGAGAGCCGTTTAATTATGCAAGGCTTTGTTTGTTTAATTAAATTTCGCCCAGCGCCTAATTCGGAGGTTCCCTCCCCGGCAAGCACACGCTCCCCTTTGAGTACCCTCTAAAAATAAACTTGCCAGACAGGGAAAGGCCACGCTGCGTATGCGAGCTTCGGCGGAGGAAGGCGAGAGGAGGCAGGAAAGTTAAGTTACCTTGCAAACCAGCTCCTCCTCGCTGTGCAGATGCACGGCCCGGAAAATGTGGTCTCCTTCCAGAGGCTCCAGCAATAAGTATTTCCCAATGCAAGAAACGCAATGCGACAAGTTCGGAGTCTCTGGCGGGCTCGGCGAGCCGAGATTGGGGCTAAAACTCTGGCTGGATTCAGTCTGTCTTATAGACGAGAGCTCCTCTAGATCTTGGGTTTTATTCCGAGGTCTTCCATACCGCGCTATCGTGATTGGGGTTGACCTTTGTATGTTCATGGGGATGGAGAAGAAACCCTCCAAGAAATATCCTCCCCCCCCCCAATTTCTCTCTTCCCTTCACACTCACAACTCACTCAACACGCGCACACAATTCTTTTGGCGTTTATCAGTCGCTCAGCTTCAGGCCGGCCGCAAGAATTGCCTTTGTTGCTGTCGTGGAAAAGAGTGCTCGGGGGTGGCAGGTTTCTGTAGGATCTACAGTCCGGTTTCCAGAAGCCCCCAAAAGCAGGAGATCGCTCGTCGCTGGGAAGGGGGCGTTGGGGGTGGGGTGGGCGATCGATCGATCGAACGATTCTCCCCGCCGAACCTGGGCCGCGTTCGAGTCTAACGTTCGGCTACACACCTTTGTACTCAAAAGCGGCGAAGTCCCGCAAAGTAGAAAAACTGAGCAAAGCGGAGCCTCCCCGGAAACGCCGCGGGGTTTAACAATCAAAACATCTGGAAACGCGTTCCGAGGGGCCAGGTTCGTTTTATCGGTCTCCGATTCTCCCAATTGCTCGCTTCGAAATCTTTTATTTGAACGTGCTACAGCAGGCGACGGGCTTTTTATTCTCTTTCTTGCTGTTTCGATACGGTTTTTTAATAACCTGCTTTAAACTGTAGAGGGCGTCTGATCCTTTTTCCCCTCGTGGAAAGGACTATATTCAGAGAAGCAACCCAAGACAAATAAATAATAATAATAAAAAAAATAAGCAGCGGAGTATTTAACTTCAGCGGATTGCCGAGGAGCTCGGCTAACGGTGCGGGAGTCCGCTATCCGATCAGATCCGGATTTATTTTACTTGAACCTCCTTTGCGGTGCAAGAAAAACCGTTTCCCCAAACTAAAAGCGCCGCTCCTACCAGGATACGAAGTGCGCGAAGCTCCAGGGAGCTGCAGCGCTGAATTGGTTGCGTGCGTTGGCTTCCTTTGATCAGACGGAAAAGTGCAATCAAGGACAAGAATAAATCGATGCTCTTTAGCTTTCCATTGGCCCGGGAGACGTCCGGTCTTTCTTCGTTGTTCACCGGATGATTTGAGTGCAGTGCACATTCAAGCAAAAAAAAAAAAAGAAAAAGACCACAAAGGACGGGGGGTAAAAAAAGAGAAAGCGCTGCAGGAAAAAAAAAAAAATCACCCTCCCGACGATCTTCTTAGCCCCCTCCCCAGAGTCCTGAGATGCAGAAAAGGAGGGAGGCGGGCGATGCAGCCACTTCGATATGAATAAATGTATATTGCAGGCGCCGTTCTTTATTCCTAGAGGTAGAAGGAGTGGGGAGGAAAGGGATGGCCGAGCCAATCCCTTTCAGCAAGCCATCGTCTCTTCACCATGTATTAATAGCTACTTACGTGGCTAACAGTCTTTCTTCTTCTAGCCGTGCCTTCCTACTCAGGGTCAGAAAGCGGCGGCGGCTGCAAGAGCAGCAGCGATACCGACGCTACATTGACACCGCGCAGAAGCTGACTGCCCGCTCCTCGCCGCGGCGCAGCGCTCTGGCTGCCAGCAGAAACGCCCGCCCCGACCCGAGCGGCCTTCCCATTGAGCCAAGGAAGCATCAATCACGCGATCTGCCTGCCAACCCTCCTCGACGTCTCCTCCTCCTCCTCCTCGCCGCCTTTCTCCTTTCCACTCATTCAATGAGCCGGTTTCAGGGTAAACAAGGTGAAATATCCTTCCGCTGAGCAAGGCTGTGAAATACGAGCTTTGTGAGCAGTTTCTAGCGGCTACTGTTGCTACTACTGCTGCTACTACGGCGTTTCATTGACCTCTGCGCGTTTCCGTTTGGGTCGAGTTCTTTCGTGTGTGTGTGTTTGTGTGTGTGTGCTTTCTCCGGAGAGATGGGAGGAGTTTTCAGCCCATTTATATCCCAAGTGCATTTGGGCCATTTTATGAATTAAATGACTCGCTTTAACTGATCGTGTAAACACAACAGACTTGCAACGAAAAGCATTTTCCTTACATTTACCTTGTGTAAAAATGGATCATTCGCTTTTCCGGAATATAAAAAGATTATCTAAAAAAAAAAAAAAATCCCACCAAGGCACAATGTTTAGATATATTGTATAAGGCTAAAATAAAGCTTTAAAAACAACACAGAGACTTCCTATGTTTTATTGACTGATGGGAGAAAGTGCAGTTAGGTCATGCATTAACTCTCTGGTTAGCAAATGGAAACCCAGGAGCCCAGCCTACTCCCACTCAAATGGCTAATATCTTAAAAATAAATACCGTGGTGGCAGGAGGCTGCACTTTCCCAGATAACTTATATTTGGATGGTACATTCTGTTAATGGTCACAATTTGATTAAGCATAGTTGGACTAAATCACATGCGGTTTAAGAACTTACTGCACTAAGTCGTCAGCCACGGTTTAAAAACCCCAAGCAAACTTAGATGAATGGTTGTAAAGATGTAAACTCATCTTTTGGCTTAGTCTGGGGTAGCTGATGATATTTATCTGACGGAGCAGCCCCTTTCTGTTTGCTCAAATGAGATACGCCCCACTTATCCAACCTTTCTTTGACCTGACTGCCCCAACCTCTGTAAAAACAGTCCACCTGCAGGCGGTTTCATTTCCTCTTTTGGCCCCATTTGCATTTGATAGTCCTTAGCCTAGCCACATTTTGCTGGTGAAAAATGTGAGGAATAACGTGTAAGGTCAGGATAAGAAATATGTCAGCACATTGTTCTGGAGCAATCCGAATGGCTAAATTCCCACACTGCACTATAATAGATCTTCTTTGAGTTAGACATGTGAATCCACATATCATATATGGCTTAATCAACAAACTATGGTGAACACATGAGAATCTAGCCAGTGTTATTTTTTGCAGAATAAGAGAGGCTAGGGGCTTTCTTTCAGAAGATGGAAAACATTTAATATTTTTTTGTAAAGTAGCTAAATTATATTTCATTGTAATTAAATAAAAAGGAAACAAAATTAGGTTTAGAGTCTTTCCTAACCTCATCTATTATCTACAGTACTTAATTACTGTACCAGCGGACACAACCCTCTAAAATCAAATGTGGCCCTTGAACCTGAATCAAGTTGAAAAACCAAATAGTTCACTTGAAAAACTGGCCACCTTCTATTAATTTGGATTGTCAGTTGATTTTGACCTTGGCAAAAAAACAACAACAAGGTGTTCTTGATTTAATAATGCATAAATACATTTTTGTTGCCACCTAGCCAACCATGGTTAATTTCAAGAAGCTTAGTAGGGCTGGATCTTTTAGTACTTGGATAGGAGATCACTAGAAAATCCTGGGCTATTGATTAGACTGAGAAGTTGGAAAAAAAATATCCTGGAAGAAGACAATAGAAAATCAAGAATAGGGGTGGAGTGGGAGGAGGCTACAGCAGATATGGTGGAAGCTCAACAGAGGATTCTTTACTTGATTTGTATCATGATTGTTTTCTGGGCTGATATGTTAAAGAATTTGACACAAAGAGGTACTGCAGAAAAAAAGCATTTTTATCTGACACATTCTAATGGGGTCACTTCTCTACACAGGTCCCTTAGTTTTAATAGTACTTTATTTTAATAATGTGACTGATGGAAATGAATGTGGTGATCATTATTTTCCTGCCCTTTTTATCCTGCTATTTCTTTCTTGTGTATCAGGCTAGCAAGGCAAGTAAGCAGTGCTGAGCCCAAGAGAATTCTAAAGGGAAAATAATGAATATCAAAGAGAAAAAAAACTTCATAAAAGAATGTATCATTTGAAGAAAAAAAAATCTATTATCTCCTGATGAGAAAATGTACCCAGGATACCAATATAAATCAAATCTAGATGGGTGGCAAAATGAATTTTTGATTAGCTTTAGCAAAGTGTGAAAGCAATTTTCTTCAAGTAGAAAGCGTAGCTTGGAATCCCTTTGAAAACTTGGAAAAGCTACACAGTAGATTGAGAGGGTTTCGTGGTGGTGAGGTTCAAAGAGCTTTTAACAAATGCTGAAATGTGTGTAACTTCAGCAATCCTCATCAAGGTTCTTGGAAAACAGATGTTCATGCAAAAATTTTATTCTGTGCCTTTTTAAAATTCATCAGCAGGTAAGAGCCTGCCTGAAGACGCACTAAAGACATGAACACAAGCTTAAAATATTGTGAAAGAGAGGAGGACCAAATCATCTAAAAAGCCCAACTACTGCAAAGTTAGAGCCTCGCTGAGCTAGGTAACTTGTGGAGGGAGGGAGGGAGGGAGGGAGGGGCAAAAAAAATGGAATGGAAAAGGGAATCCAAAGGAGGTTCAAAAAAAGCCAAGATAGGTGCTGCAGCCTCCTGACCAAAGCCTCGCCTCCTTTTTACATGTGTCATTCTCCTGGCCATCTGCCAGAGAACTAAGACTGCCATGCAGTAGCGGTTTTAGGTAGTCATCAGCCTCTTGTCTGTGATTTAGGGACAAGACTTGGGGAAAAGAAATTCACCCAGCTGGTCTGCATGGTTGGTTGCTTTACAAATGGTGAAAGGCTGACCTTTCTCCTTTGTTTCCATTGATGTGCTTCCTACACCTGGAAAAGTGACAAGAGAAGAAATGTGCAGGAAGACTGGTTTCCTTAAAAGAAAAAAAAAAATCAATATAAATGTGAGCTAATCAAGATACAAACAAGATAGGGCAAGTAGGATAAAAGAACTCTATAGTGCATTCCAAATGCCTGAAAGCATTCAGAAAATACCCATTTGTACCTCCAGGGAATTTTTTTTTTTTCCTATTAGCTCTGTTAATGTGAGGCACTAAGCCAGAAGGAAGTCGCTTTTTTTTCAGTCAGAGTCTGAATTAAGAATTGTTGACTTTGCTACCTTGGTGACTCCTGATACCAATGAGAAGCTGTAATCAAACTTTTCCACTTCTTGTTGGTTGGAAGGGATGTTTAGAGCAACTTTTCAATAAAGAAGGTACCCAGTAAAAGCTTTATGTTCCCATTTCAAATTTTACATCTTGCAAAAAAAAAAAAAATGAGCTGAAATTTTATTTGCTTCTGGATGGTCCAGCTTGGGAGTTGTGGCTCCCATGCCATGCCATAAACCCGATC